GCAATGTCCCCTCCTGGCAGGCACCATCTCTATGAAATGACACGTTGCACCCTGTCCAGTACCATAATTATAGTATATTACAATATTTTCCAATGTATCACTGCCAAGCCAAATGTAAAACATTGTAAAACTCAATTGCGGATAGTCCTGTGTCATGTTTCTTCGTTGGTTCCGTTTTGACCATAGCCTCAAGAAGTTGCAAAGATATGCAAAAATAACACTAAAATTGCACAACATGCACATAAAAACACACGAGAAGATACATTCTATGATCTTGCGTGTGAACACATACGAAACCAACATGATCTTTTCCAGATCATTTGCTTCACGAATCACACAAGCCGTGAAGCAGACTTTGCCGCGCTGTGACCCAAAATTTTGTGAGAGATGCTGAAAGACAGCCTTGTCTACCTCTACATGACCTGTCTCTGCAGCAAAAAAATAAACTACCATAGCTGGCCAATGCCACGCTAGCTCACACTCAGACTCAAGCCACTTCAAACCATTGGTTAAATCATTTCAAGCAACGTGGCGCTTGCAATAGGTGTTCACCGGAACATGAGCATACTGTACAGAACTCATTTCAGCTCAGCGTCTGCCAGCCAGGCTTTCAAAACAGCCCGGCAAAAGGCACCGGTGTAAGCGGCACTAGTTGCCAAATGCTTTCCGCCACTCCATTTTCCTGCACCTTGTTGCTTGTAGTAGTCCTATGGCCCAAATCGAATCCAAATGTATCATAATGTATCCAACTTAACTTTTCTGAACCATACTGCAGGTAAGCAAGTAACCAGCCTTTGGGATCTTTCGTTTGCTGTTTCGCTTTACCAGTCTGTCCTGGACAAGCAAAATCAAGTGCATAGTACTGCTCACCTAAAGCCTGACCATCAGTCCTTGATTTGTTGTCTCTTCGCAGCTGTCATTTTTCGTGCCAGGCTCTCTCCTGACCTGTGCGCCCAACGTCAACCACAAGATTTATTTTTCTAAAAGTTGCATTTTAAAAATTCACCGCAACATACGTTCTGCAACATGTCTGCTCCTCCAGTTCACCAGGAGATGAGAGCACTTTTGCAGATCGTGACCAAAAAGGCCCATCCACGTGCACACTTTCTTCCTAAACTCAATTCTTGGAAGCATGTCTCATATCAGCTGAGTTAGTACATGCTATATAATATATGATTAACCGTGATTAACGATGTTATATATTATATGTCCCTGGATTCTGCGAAAAACTTCAACCAAAAGGCAAAGACCATTTGCGACTGACAGCCACCATTGGTGGCAATTTGAAGGCCCAGCTCGAAGATGGTTGTTCAATGAGCAAGCGAAGATCTTGACGGACACTGCAACAGGCGAAGGGCACATGCAAGATCATGCAAGCGTATGATAAAGATTGATAAAGCAAAAGCACTCACTTGACAACAAGATCAAACTGCATTCCTGCCTGTAGACGGCATTCAAGCATTCAGCCTAGTATCACGCAACACTAATACCCAAATGATTTCAAACGTCATGCGCGCAAAGGATGTACGCAAGTCAAAAAGCGCAAAAGTAAATCTGCGCCAGGAAGCAAAGTTTGTCCAGATTCGGTTTGCGCAACGAACTCGTAGGTTTTTGAGATTGCCCCAAGTGTTCAGCAGCGACCGCTGGTGAACTGATGAACATGCTTGTACAAACAGAGAACATGGTGGTCCACAAATGATCAAGCCCTGCCACGCCAACCTCACATGAGCAACCAAAGGTCATGACTCGATATCAAAAAACAAAAAAACAACAAAAGTATTTCAGTCAACGTGTAAACACATGTTCAGAAGTAAGTTATATAAGTCTGAGCACTTCAGAATCGCGCGCAAAAGAAGTTCCACTCCTGTGTAGGTTGTCAAATCACGCTCATCGTTCAGCAAAATATCCCAGGGCTCAGCCCGAAAGTTGGCGCGTTCAAAGCAAGACCTTTCAGACGCGCCCAGAAGTTTCAAAAGGTTTAACAGCATACAAAGAATGAGGTGTGTATGATTACGTACGCATACCAAACTGCTCAAGCAAGCTGCGCGACGCTCCTGGATGCTCCAAATAGATCCAAGCAGTGACATTCACGGACAGTAACTCAGAGCAGTTGCTTCAATTATCTGAAAGATAAAAAAAGCATCAAAAAACACGCCTCACTTACTCTGAATCCACACTTCCATACCTTCGTGTGAGTTCATCTGGCTTCCAAGCGGCTCTCTGCGGCGATGAGAAAAGCCAAGTTGACCAGGAATCTCTTGTGGCGTTCTGCTTTGAACCATCTTGGTGCCAGTATTTTCTCAGGTGTTTGATGGACTAGGATTTCTATAAATTGAGCTGCCCAACCCACAGGCAGCACATGAAAAGCATCTAGGAATCACCACCCATTACGTTGACACAACATCAATGAGCAAGCAAAGCACATAGCAATAATAAACAATACACGGTAGTTCAAACAAAAACAAACATATATGACATGTAGGGGTCCAACGTGCCATTTTATAGATAGATTATGATAGATTGGCGGATAAGACAAGTAGTAAGATGCCTTAATAATTGAAAAGTCAATCAAAAAGGATAAAGCCATTCAAGACACTTTAGTCAACTTCAACTCACAAATTCAACACACTTGGAGTATGATTCGAGATAAAAAGTTGGAATGTGTTTTTCAGCGTTTGAAAAAATGTCAGCTAAGCCACTTCGATTCGTCAACTCCGCTTGTCGTATCTAATCCCTTTGGCGTTTTCACCATTGCACAGGCACAAGCGAGAGGTATATGGCGACAATGATTCACGTATCACCAAATGGTCATTGGCTGCGGAGTGCAGGAGCCCGATGGTGCAGGCGTGCAACAAACACCATTCCCCATTCAAAAATATTTCACCAAAAAACAAACGCATCCAATCTCTTTGAACAAGACTTTCTTGATCTTTCTTGTAAAAAGCAACCTCGCTAGAACTTGGGGCCCAGGCTGTATTCTCTTTTTTCACCGGTTTTCCCAACCGACTGATTTCCAAGGTCCATCTCCAGCATTCCCTGGGCAAAGCATTAAGGAATCTGTTTGAAGATTCAACTAAAGCGCAATCATTGATACTCAATGCAAGACCAAAAGCGACAGATCCACTAACGTGCGTCTCAAGTACATCTCATCGTCGTAGTAGGCATAATGCCAAGAGGGTCTGCCACGGTAGTACTTGCATCGGGCAACTCAGTTGCGTCAAGTATTGAGTCAAGCATTCATCACCCGCACAAAAAACATCAAAAAAAAGCTTTCATTTGCCCATCTTTTTTTTGTCGCAGGCACCCCATTTTCCACTCTTTGCATGGAAGAACGGCTCATTCATGTCTTCCACACATTGTTTGATCCCCTGGGAATCATTGCAAACCACGTCTGCACACTTGATTCCTTGCCAAGATTTTAGAACACTATGACTCACCTGTCATTCCTTTCATGTTGTTTTACAATCTTTTGCTACCATGGAACGCATACCTTTGGACATCCAGCTGGACATTTGCTGGACGGCTCCATCTCAATGGCCCGCGAAGCCCGCGGAATTCTACCACAGTTGGTGTCTTGCTTTTCATATTCCTTGGATTTTGTCCTGAAATTATTTAGATTAATTTCTATCTTTTGGTAATCCATGGTAATCCTTTTCGTGATGCCATTTGCAGGTGCTTGAGAAATGACAGCGGAATCAATACCAACCATCCAACACACACGCATTCTCTATAAAATGACTGCCTGACCCGCTGGGGGGTCAGGCCATAATACGCTTTATATGAGGGTCAACCCCTGTCATTTCATAGAGGCTATGTACACGGGGATACAACTAGTACGCGGAGGAATCTGTGGAGCTGGAAGCTGAGAACTGGCGACTTCGTAGTACAACTTTAGTGCGCGGAGTATCTGGGGAGCTGGAAGAGAGTCCCACAAGAGTGTCCCCCAACAGTGTCCCGCTAGAGTCTAGAGTGTCTCACAAGAGTGTCCTACAAGAGTG